AAGAATACGTACATGTTAGATTAGCTGTGTCATATATTTCTCTGTCAGGTGCCCAGACATGTGTCGAACATGTCTGGGTGAGATGAACATTTAAATCGGGGGACTCTGAGTAAAGCAGACCACCCTCCATACGGTGGGTGGGTGCCGTGGTCTGAACGTGGGTTCCCGAACCACATTCATATGTTGAGGTCCTAACCCCAACATGAAGGTGTGAGGAGGTGAGGCCTTTGGAGCTGACTCCAAACTGAGATTAGTGCCCGAATCAGAGGCACCAGCGAACCTTCCATCATGTGAGGACCCAGGAAAAGGGCTCCTACCTGACTGTGCTGGCTCCCCGACCCCCCACTTCCAGCCCCCAGCACCCCGTGTGTGGTGCTCTGTTCTAGCAGCCTGATGGGACCGAGACAATGGGCCTCATGCAAGCCACTGAAGGAACCAGGGCTGACCTCGGAGTTCTGCACCACCTGTGAGCTCCAGTGTCCTTGAAATAAACTCTCTCTCCCTCATATAATGATACTAAGGGGAAGACCCAGATGCTCCCCTAAGGCCCCTGCGGGTGAAGCCTCCTTTTTTCCCCTCCTCTTCCTGTCCCTCCTTTTCCTTCCTTTGATTTAGAAGCTTTTTAACTAGATTATTTCCTAAAAACAATAGGATTTATTGGAAATTTTCCTACTGTAATGTGCTCTGTGAGTCTAAAAACGTCTGTTCTTGCTCTTGATATCTTCCCGGTTTGTCACAAAGATTCCTCCTGAGGGTTTCCTGGAGGATCTCAGAACACTTCTCTAACCCAGGCATGATGCTAACAGGAGGGGAAATGTTTTGATCTTCACGGCGGGTGGTAGAATTCTTCTCAGGCAGGAAGCAGTCCTTGTTTGGGAAAATGTTGTGATAAGCTGAAGGCATGGGAGTAGGAGCCGGGGACTGTGTGTCTGTCCGGCCACGCACTCAAGATGCGGTGCAGACAGCTCTGCCTGAGACCAAGAGGGCATCTGGCCTCTGAGAAGGAGGAGAGGAAATTCAGGGAAGCCAGGGGAAGAGTAGGAAGAGAAGAGAGAGAGAGAATTTATATATATAGTCCTGTTGGTTTTGTTTCTCTGGAGAGCCCTGAGCCTGAGATACAGACGTCTTCATTGGTCAATGTGAACCCTCGGCAGTGGACAGGACAGTCCTGGGCTCTGAGGCAGGTCCTATGTCCAGGGGCTAATTTAGTAAGATCTGCAACAAAACCGAGGGCAGGGCACGGCAGCCCCAGAAACACAGAGGGGATGAGGGGACGGGTCATCCAGGCACAGATAAGACCTCCCTGGCGGTCAAGCTCTGGATCCACGCTTGGGGCAGCAGCAGCGTGAGGCGGTGGCTGTGCCCTGGAGGGCTGGCTCCAGGATGCTTCCACTCCAGGAACTGACGCCACAGGGTCCACCCTAATTACTGTCCACTTCCCATCAGAGTGCTCCCAGGAAGGCCAGAGCCCCTCGCATTCGGTTCTGCATTCAGTTCGCTCACAGATACCTGGAGATCCCGCTCTAGCTATTTAAACCCCACCCACAGAGCCCCTTTCTGGGACGCTCTGAGTTTGGCTGAAAGTGGCCCCTTCTGACTTACACATCTACACCCAGAGCTTCAAGTCCCTGGCATGAGCACAACTCCTACTTGGTCCCCAGGTCTGCCCAGCTATTCCTCCAGGACGGGTTCTCTCCCCACTGCCCCCCACTGTGGTCTTTTCCCATTTGTCTCAAAACTCTGTAATCCATGCACTAACTCAGCTGCTTTAGGAGGGACACCTCATCACTCTCCCCACTTCACCAGGCGACAATGCAGGCACAGGTTAACTTTCTGAGGTCCCACAGCTCCTGAATGGCAGAGCTGGGAGAGGAAGCCGGCATGCACTTCTCCGGTGGGGGGTTCTGGGGCTGGCCTTGGTCCCACTCCGGGGGTGCCCCTCCCTCCATGGCAGCTGCACTCCCTGCCACTTCACTGCCTGCTCGAGGCACAGTCTTTTCCTCCATCCAGAGTCCCCACTCCGGTGCGCCTGGCCTGGGTCTGGGGCTGCCCGGGAAGCAGAGCTTGGCTCCTCCCGCACCAGCCTCAGCTCCTGCCAGCTCTACCTTGTGGGCCCCCTAAAGGCCTCTCCCCTGCCTCCCACCTGCTTTGGGGCAGTGCCCAGGCTGCACTGAGGGCACTTTCCCTTCTTAGCTCCACAGGGGGCTTCTCCCTCTCCCGAGACCCGCTCCTCGCCAACAGCCCCTGAGATTGTATATGGGGTCCACCCCTTCCCATTCAGCATCCCGGAGGGCAAAGCAGGGATTCGTCTGGGAGCGGGGAAGGAAAGTGACAGCCTGTCAGTGAAGCCTAACCAATCGGAAAGCTTCCCGGATTAGAGGGCGGGGCTGATCGCGGCCAGGTGGGGGAGGTGAGGCGCACCCAGCCCCGCCCTCCTGCCCCATCCGCGCGGGAGATCCTGAGGTCGGCCCTCCCCAAACTCGGTCTTTGCCAGCTGCTGCCAAGCCATGGGGAGAAGAACCGAGGCCACAGAAACCAGGTCCCCTGCAGCTCCACTGGGACTGATGAGCTGTCCCCGTCCCTCGCCCCTGCCTGCATTTGCTCCAGCTGCGTCCTGGACAGATTGGTTTTCTGGCTCCAGGAATGGGGTGAGTCCGGTACTCACACCCGCCCGCCATTTGATGTATGCCCCCGCCCTGCGCTCCTAGCCAAATCTTTTTTTTTTTTTTTTTTTTTTTTTAAATATATTTTATTGATTTTTTACAGAGAGGAAGAGAGAGGGATAGAGTTAGAAACATCAATGAGAGAGAAACATTGATCAGTTGCTTCCTGCACATCTCCCACTGGGGATGTGCCCGCAACCCAGGTACATGCCCTTAACCGGAATCGAACCTGGGACCTTTCAGTCTGCAGGCCGACGCTCTATCCACTGAGCCAAACCGGTTTCGGCACCTAGCCAAATCTTATATTTCCTCCCGGCCCCCCCACGACACCCCTCCTTCCCCCCACCCCCTCCCCCCAGTTCAGATGATATCTGCCCTTCCGGTCCCCCGTCCCTACTCTCCACTCGCCCGGCCGGGTGGAGCCCAGGTTTGAGAACCGCAAGTCCACCCCCTCCTGGCAGCCAGCCCTCTCGTCCAGGCTTGTCTGCAGCCTGCGTCCCGTCTCCCAGCAGCGGCGCACGGAATCTGTGGGGTGAGTGAGAACGTGCAGAAGGTGGCTGGGGCCAGGGAGGCCCCTTGGCTCCGCCCTCCCCTTACACCTGGCCTCTGCCGCCCCCAAGAGGCGGGCCTCTACCTCTGAATCAGCCTGGGCGCCCAGACACATCCTCCTGCCTGCTCCACCGGGACCTGGGCCCCAGACCTGAGCTGGGGGCCTTGGATCCCAGGCCCTTCCCGGGGCCTCTGCAGGGAGGGCACCCCGTTCCCTCGTGGCCCCACCTCCCTCACCCCCCTCACCTCAGTGGCACACACCTGGCCCGTGAGGGCGGGAGTGGGGAGCACTGACCCAGGGGGCCCAGAGGGCTGGGCGGGGAACCGAGCAAAAAACAAGAGGGCCAGGTCTCACCGACGTGGTGGAGCCAAGACCAAGTGGTTTCCACGCGGCGGGCCTCTCAGAGCCTTCGATGTGCAAACCGCGT